ACATCTGAATGTTCATAAATATCAAAGTATTCAATGGCCATATCCATGGTGTTTTATCAAGAGGACAATGCATTATTCCAACAGAATAGAGCTCGTAAGACCCATACTTTGTTTCAAAGTATCATTTTGGATGCCCTGAAATGGCATCCGAAGCCCATGCCTTAGCCCTAAAAACAAAACATTTCTGGGATCATCTAATGGAGAGTAGAGCGGTTAATTTGAAATTTTGGGTCATTACCTTCCAGTTGTAGTCATCAGAGCACTGTATGGCGGTGTTAAGCATTACAACGATGGTCACAGGACCCTTGTTTATATTTTTTGATAATTTTAGACAGTGCGATTTATACACATACCTAGAAGACAAAATATTAAAATTTGGAGAAGTATTGAAATATTTTATTGAAAAATGTAAAAAAAAGACCTACAGTAGAGCCAGTCAGATGATGTGAAATATATCAAGTACCTTTATATTTATTCCTAGGTTTGATATTTTTACCTGATGATGACTCTTTAAGAGTCAAATGCTTAAGAAAAAGAACGATTCCTGATCCTTGAGAGTCTGATGAGTATAAATCCGAAGCTGAGTTTTAATTCAACAACATTCGGCATACCCTATACTCCTCAAACTATGAGCTGTTTAATTTATTCCATGCTAAAAAGTGATTTCAAAAAACTGTAGCAAGGTGTAACACTATACATTAAATTTAGATTAGGTCCAAGTTTGAAGAAATATATCTTAAATTACTTATCATGCTACTTAACACGTAGAATGGAATCAACCTATTCCTTAAATTACAGACTTGTTTTGATACCGTTCACTACCTATACACGTAAGGTCTACAAATGTTGCGTCATATTGAGCAGTTTATACTTGTTGTCCATTATAATGAAATCGCCCATTTCTTAGGCAAAATATTATTTAATGGCTTTAATTAACACTGAAAGTAGTTTTAATTTGTGTGTGTAATTCATGTATTATTAGGAACCTTGTGACCAACAAACACAGAGACCCACACGTAATTTGTTATATAAATAGTTTAGAAAAAAAAGTGCCAGAAAGCAAATGAGGTTCCTACGGCCCCATCAGTAACTGTAGGATTAATTTGACAATTTGGGGTTTTAACTATAATTCCTAAGTGATGCGTAATAACATTAATAATGACTACTATATATATATATTGGGGTCAAAGTTTTGTAGTAATTTGGTATTGCTTATCAACATAAAATATTTCAAAAATAAATAAAATTCCCTCTTTGATTTTTTGTTTCCATAAAACGTATTTGGTCCTTAAAATGATATTACAGGAGAATATAACGTTCAATAATTATTTATTTTCATATACATTATAACATGAAGTTGGAGTAATGAGTTCATATAGATGCACGTTGTAGAATTTAATCTTAATTCTTAAAACATAAGCATTTTGAAAAGGATCCGACACAAGTTATTGCTTAAATTAAGATATCTTTGGAATGACACGTATTTCACAATCCAGCGATCTGATTCGTTCTTTTAAAACACTACACCAGTATTTTGATTACTTAGTTCAATTTTGTAAAAAGTAAATCAATTGGGTGCGCAAACTTAGATTTTTTTTTCTCATGATAATGTTGAGTCAGGTTTCTATTACATTTTATGTATTCAAACCAACATATTACCTTAACTTTCAATTCCACGAACAGGTAAGGTACCAAAAGCCACAGTTTTGAATAATAATTCGTTCGAAATATCGATTGTAGAAACAGTTTCTCAAGTAAAATATAAAAAAAATAATATAAGAACTTGAAATGAACCAATCATTCTAAGCGACTTTTTAAAATATTTCTATTTCGAACGAGATCACTCGAATATCATCTACAATCATTACAATAAAATCTAAGCATCTTTAGTAGCGTGTATATAGTCATTACCCGAGTATTATATATTTTTCTTTTAGAAATGAGTTTAAAAATTTTATTCGCCGACTTCGTTTTCGTCCTTTTGACAACTGTCAAAGGAACAAAATGTACGTACTTATCGAAGCCATGTAGAACAACGATAATTATAACCAAAACTGTTGCTCAACGACAAAGGTTTCGCCCTCTGAATGTTGGTGACTAATAAACACAGAGTGCCACAAGAGTTTCTTATGTTTATTCTAAATATTCACCATGCATTAAAAAAAATGAAGAATGCTATTTTATAATATGGTGTAAAAAGAACAAAAAACGTTTTTGTTTGAAAATTTTCGCGAAAAAAAAGCTTCTAAGTATGTGCCTACAGACTAAAGGGGGGGCAACTAGTCAACAGCAACCACCGCCAACTCTTGAGCTACGCTTGTCTTACCGAATAGTGGAATTTGAACGTTCCTTTTATAGTGCACGCAAGGTTCCAAAGTACGGAGCGCGTTTTTTGCGGCAACAGGAAACGAACCGCAGTCCGAGTGGCACAGCGGTATGTCTGCAGACTTACAACGCTAGAAACCGGGTTTCGATACCCGCGGTGGGCAGAACACAGGTATCCCATTGTGTAACTTTGTGCTTAATTACAAACAAACATACTCTCTGCGGCAAAATCAGAAAGGAGCTCAGCCAGTTAGTTACAAGATAATTAATGGATTACAACTGTTTATTTGTTAAATAAATGCTACTTAACAAAAATATATATATTTTGTTTTTAATAAGATCGTTTCAATACTGCTATAATATGAATAGTGAATTGCTTATATACTAATTCCATATAATATTCTAGTACGTTGATAGATAATAAAAACTTGAAGTGGAGCCGAATACCTCATTCACACTTCGATATTTCCTGGTTGAAAGGTTTTCAAAAAGGGAGAAAAGGAGCCATTAGTTACAGACGCCCTCTTAGGAATAACTTATCAGCTAAACTCGTTTCATGGTTTTGAGGAAATTATTTATAGCAAACAAATAAAAAAGGCCAAATACCTCAGACATTTTGTACACATTTGTGGTCAAAACACCACAACTGTAGTGGTAATAAGCCTTGTTCCTGTGATCTTGGGATGAAGTGAACTTATCAGCTAAACTCGTTTCATGGTTTTGAGGAAATTATTTATAGCAAACAAATAACAAAGGCCAAATACCCCAGACATTTTGTACACATTTGTGGTCAAAACACCACAACTGTAGTGGTAATAAGCCTTGTTCCTGTGATCTTGGGATGAAGTGTACACAATAGCTACTTATTGGGTTCAAGGTAATATCGTTACAGGTAAATTATTTCTACATCCTGTCGTACTCCCCCGCCCACTCTCTTCTCCAGGTGTCATCTGCCGTGAGAACTGATTTTTTGCACGCGACTTTCTCCACCAGGCGGCGTACAAGATAAGATCAGTACGAACACTTCAACTAAAATACCGTAAAGAACGATTAGAACATCTTAATTTTAAACCTACTCTTACTTTTGCAACACCGAAACTGCATTTGTTACTTCTGTTCATTTCCTGTGTTCACGTCAGCTCTAATCCATAAAACAACAATACATGTTGATTTTGTAAAGGGATTTCAAAGGGACTGTACGTTTTGTAAACTTGGAATTAAATACTTTAATATTTTTTATTTGTATTAAAAATATTATTTATTTTTTATAAAAAAACGTAAAACTTGAAGTGGTAATTACAAAATTTTCGCATAGTAATTGAAAATGGTTATCTGCAAAATGTATAAGCATGCCGTTTGTAAGATGATTATTGTGCTTGCATGTTTCTTTTTTTTTGTTTTGTTTTTGAATTAATCAGAAACGTAGTTTTTATGACATGCCTTATCCGACTTCACTACACAGCATACATAAAGCTGACGCCACATTTAATAGTGGTAAGCAATCTTTAATATATTCCAATAATTATTTCCATAAACATTTCTCTGGCATTGGACTTACAAATTGAAGCCACAATTAGCTTCTTTCGACTAGACATGATTGCGTGGTTTGTGGCGCATGGGTGATGATGCACGCGATGCAGCAAAGTGAAGGATACTCTAATTTTGTTGTCCTTCAAAGAATTACTCAAGTTTTTTCTGTCTTCATAAAAATGAGAAAAGATAAGACTAACACATGGAAACGTTAAATATGTTTACCAAATTGTTAAGGAATGCTTTAAATTTTCTAGACTACATTGCTTCTTCTTAGCTTCTTGTACACACTACAGAAAAAAAAAGGATGACGTAAAATGCAAACATATTTTGTCATGGTAACTATCGAAATCTAATTCCGGATGAATTGAAAATGATCTCTAACCCAGACAAGCAATTTGTTAGACATATACAAAATATTTACATGTATTTCTTTTCTTTAAACTCTATTCCATTCATTTGTAGAGCTTATAATGTAACAAACAACATAGAAAAAAGTTTAATCCAAACATAACTAAAATATAAGAAGTTATGGTAGATAATTTATACAATATATTCAAAGAATGTTAAAACTTCGTTAAGTTACCCTGGAGGAAAATATATAGGAAGGCTGATCATTCCTAGCCAGTTACAAAGATGTTATATATGCTACATTTGAACAGTGCGCAGAAATTCTCACTGGTGGAGGCGACTTCATCGTTAAGGTAAGTGCATTCCAACAGAGCAAAAAAAAAAAAATACGTGAAATACAGTATTTCATCCTTAACAAACGCCCTTAACCTTCATCCCTTCATCCTTAACCTAGGCCCGTGGATAATACAAACTGTGTGATTTTAAATATTCTTAAAACACAGAATGTAAACGATGTTTCAAGTCGTGGAATTAAAAAAGACGATATGATTCTAAATCTGACGATTATTCTTTTTTTACAGCTTCAGATGCATGTTATACTATTAAACACTTTTCTAAAATTGATTATTCACTATTCCATGACCATTTAATTTCCTTCAAATGAATCGTAAATTATTTCAGAAGGAAACAAATAAGCTCAACCTTACACAAGAGTACGTTACTAGCGATTGTTATTCATGCACAGAGTATAAGTAACATTGTTCGTTGCAGGAGTAAAAAATATAACTACGTACCGTTAGGCAGTTAATCAGGTTCTGTTCGAAAACCTTCTGAAAAGCTCGCGAGTCACTACACCACTCCAAAAGCTCTCTTGCTGCACTCTGGAACCCACTTGGTGACCCTAATGCCTAGGTACAAAGAAGAAAAAAATGTCGAGTTAAACATCTTCAAAGACTTACAGAAAATGATGCTGAAAAGAAGAAAGTAGTAAGTTTACATTTGGTTCGTTACTTCAGTTTACTATTGTTTTGTTTTTTAGTTATTTCATACAAACGTCAATATATGCTACAAATAGCACTGGAATACAATACAACGACTTCTTCCTGCTTACGAGATACTACAGTTAGAGTGAATAAACCAAAGTTTGTTTGTAATTAAGCACAAAGCTACACAATAGGCTCTGCCCACCACGGGTATCGAAACCCGGTTTCTAGTGTTGCAAGTCGACAGACATACCGCTGAGCCACTGGGACCATAAACCAAGTAATTTTGGTTGAATTTTATTCATAAATACTTTTCTATTTTTCTTTTTTTAAGATAGAAAGTTTAGTTTGGAAGTATCTAGAGATTGAATTAGCAATTGCGATTTCTTCATTTTGTGATGACGAGAAAACTTATTGTCTCAATCTGGTTAATAAATCCCATACCTTCGAGCTGTTTCTCTCACCACGATATATAAAAAAAACTATCTTGTATGTTAAAAAGATGATCAGTTCATTACACCGCGCAGTTTGTCAGTTTATTTTTGGAATTTCGCGAAAAACTTCTCGGGGGTTATCTGTGCTATATGTTCCTAATTTAGAAGTGATAGGCTGAAGGGAAAGCAGATAGTCAACACCACCCACCGTCAACTCTTGGGCTACTCTTTTACCAACGAAAAGTGAAATTGACCATCACATAATAACACCCCCTAGACTGAAAGGGCGAGCATATTCGGTGATGGTATTGGAAATTGCGACCCACAGATTGCAAGTCAGCGCCCTAACCATCAAGCCATGCCAGGTCTGCACAGTTAGTGAATGTAATGTATTTCTTACGAGTGTCGTAAAATGTTAGCGTATGGAAGATTATGAGTGCATACTTTTCTGCACGGTCCAATACGGGTTTCCGAAACACTCCTTAATCTTTGCTACGTGTAAATTTAAATGCATTTCAAGGTCATCAGTGTCCCCTGATAAGTTTAAAAAAAACAAACCCTAACCACGATTTTTTTGTTGAACTCGTATGTTTTTACAGTGAGATTGGTTCATGTCAGTCTTTCTACAATTGTTTCTAACGCTTGGTCGTGTTTGTCTTAATTTTTGCCCAAAATAAGGATGTCCTGAGTGTCATGAATAGATTGTCCAATAGCATTTTAGAAGATCCTTGCTGCAAACGAAATGGTGCCGAGCTCAGTGTGTGTGTAAAAAATGTAGTTATATATCGACATTCAGTTGAGAGTTCAACTAACAGTTGACAAAGTTTGAATGTAACTTGAGAATACTGTAGCTCCATTCACTCTGTGATTTATGCCATTAACTGCGGGCATAATTTAACTGTTTTGTTCGGTACTCATGTCGATACATATTTGAATGTTCCGTTTTTATTTTTATTTAATTTTTATAAAGCAATACTTAATGAAACCAACAGTTTAAAGGTTTTTCGAAATTTTATTTTTCTTCCAAATGCTTGCATAGAAATAAGACTATAATGTGCTTGGGCAATTGGCTGTATATTTTCGCCAATGTGTTATTTCTCCTAGTAGCTTTTCAACTTGGCAATACCACAAAAACATTAGAATACTGTCTCTCAAGTTTTTCTTTTATTTCAGTTGAAGATAAGTCAGTTTCTGCACACATCATGTATATATAGTTACTGAAGGATATGAACAACTATATATAAAGCCGTTCTCTTCTCCAAAATGTAAAGTTGTACATGTTTTCATTCGACTTCAACCCTTAATTTTCTTGACCCATGAAGATGTCACTTCAGTTATGGGTATTTTATGCTGCATGCAGTACGAAGGTATACATAATTTGATTCTCTACCTTTCCATTATTACTTTACATTATGCTCTCCTTGTTCTAGTAAAGGTGTTTGCAGTTTTCATGGCATAATTTTCCATGTTTCTTTACCTATTTCTGAAAGGCAACTTGTGGCAAAATGATTCAACATGCCGCAAGAGTTGGACAGAACATTAATCCAACAGAATGGGGATATTTCCTGCCACACCAAAACACATCAGTTCTTAATACCTTCTTTCCTTAGAATAAAGCTGTATCTTGTTGATCACTAAGCATTTACTGAACTTTTACTGTTGTTGTTCTTTTTTTTGTAAGATTTTTTCTGTCTCTTACATTGATGTTAAAATATTCTACCTGCACCCAGCAATTCACAAGTTTTATAGCTGTATTGCTAAGATTTCATCATCCTAGTGGAGCCAATGAATAGTTCAGAGTTATTTGTAATTTTACTTATTTATCTGTATCAGAACATTACACTATTGCTGACCAATTGTCATAACCTTAAAATCATAAATAATATTCATAACCTTGTTTGAAAATTGTCCATTGTTTCCCCCTTGATTCTGTTTTGGCTATTAAAAAAAACGTGAGTTAAGTATTTGATCTTTATTTTTGGCTTATTGTATTCATTCCATTTTGTCACTGCTGCTGCCCGATTGTCAGCTTCACCTGTTTAGACTAGTCAATAAATAATTTATAATAAAAAAGATGGTTACGTATCATGCTGATAACACTATAGTACATGTAACAAGTCCGTAATGTTTGTTAAGGCAATTTTAATCCTATATGTTTGTGTGGTTCATAATCATATTGAAATGAAATTGCAGAAACCATACTAAGTCTAGGAAGATAGGGCTATGACTCAACACAGAACAATAAAATAATGATACCAAAAATATATTTTCAAATGATATGTCTAGTTGAACAAGGTTATGAATATTCACACTTCAATAAAATCATTTCAGAAAAAACAATGTTGACATCATATACTAATTCTAGTTGAATAAGATTATGAATTTACACAGAACAATAAAATCGTGATATTAACAACGTATCTTGTAAAACTAAAGTTTATGAACAAAGTTATGACTATTAACATTTCAGTGAAATCATATCAACAATGCTTCTTCTCAAATCATACTAGTTCTGATTGCACAAAATTATGACTCTTCATATATCGATAAAGTTATGATACCAACAATGCCCCTTCTAAAATCATACTATATGTAAATAAACAAGGATATGACTGTCCGCAGTGTGTGTATATATATATATATATTCGTTAAAAAATGTAAAGTTATGCGTCAAAGACAATAAAATAATAATTACTATATATGGGGATAGTTTGATATCCCTTTGAGTTACGTAAAAACATCTACATTTTCGTATAAATCCAAAGGAAGTTTTAAAATATATTTAATGTAGAAGAAGAAAAAAAAGCTGGTTTACTCTCTATAATGGATCGCTTCACAATATAACTTCATTATGGTTGTTCGAAATGAAATATAATCAGGGGTGCCAAGTGCTGTTGTCTTATGTAGAAATGTACACCTATATGCCATGTTAGTGTTTTATGTATATCGATATACTAGACGTACTTCTGCAGAGTCCCCAAGAGTGTTCTGTTTCAAGAGTAAATAAAAACAAAATTAAGAGTAACAAATATTTTCTTATTTTTTGCTTTTGAACTTCGTATGTCGTGCTATGTTGTGGCCCACACAGTGCATAATTATTCTCGTGATTCATGACATGCGCACGTTTTACTGACTTCACGACAGTACAAATTCCAACGTTAAGAGTCCTTTATGTGACGTCAGGTTAGTGCCTACTGACTGACAGACAGCACACTACTGTATAGTGGTGTGAGTGATTAAAACAGGTGATCCCTCCAGGCGGCTTTAAGCCCCCTTTCGGGGAAATAAAAAACTTCATAATATACGGGTAACCGAGGTTAGTTTTTATTCTGTGTCCTCATTTCATAGTTTTGACCAAACAAACTTGCATACATTCCATCCCCTGTGTAAAATGTGGTTGATTGTTACTTCTTGTACATTTTATGTTCACTTTAATGATATCAAAGCATTCAAAATCACCTTCTTTTAACCCAGAAACATAAACATAAATAATTTAATGCTTATGTAACATGAATTATCAGTAACTGAATGAAGTAAGTAATGATTTGTTAAATCTTTATAAAATATATTATTATTATTACATTTTATATCAAATACATTCGTTCTTTGATCATATAGTTTTTCTCCTAAAATCGTAAAACATTATATTTCCTCAAAGGAAAATTTTGTGGCTTCAGGTATTAAATTTTCTTCCAGACTGTTCAGAATTACCAACATCTTGAAATTTATTTTGAGTATTCTCAGTAGACACTGGAAATAATTCACAAGATATATTATATTGGTACGCACCTCACGTTGAATATAAATTTACTCCGCAACATTGACGAGCCTATAAACTGCCACCTCGTGATCAGAATTTATTTGTTATGGTCTCGTTTATTTCTTCTAAACCTTTCCCAATAGCCTCTCTCGTTTGCCACTCCTGGTTCAAGTTTTCAATTCTCATAGATGTAGGTAATTTAATTTACGATATGATCTTTGACATTTAACAGAAGAGGCAACTTTACAGTTAACGAACAGTAAAGTAAACGTGAAGGAATTAACGGATAGGTGAGGTAAACTTCAAATAAAGAAGAACATTTATCTCAATACAAATTTCAACGTTTTTCATTAAATAATTAATCGAACATTAAATTTATTGAGCATTTATTCTACATTATGAAACTCGTGTGTGATTAAAAAGAAATATAAAAAAAATATTTAATAAAAAGATGTGGTATTGGTTATTTGGATGTTGTTATACAGAAGTCGCTAAAAGCCTCCCACAATGTCTTTAACTATACTTATTTAAATTAAGTATATAAAAGCTGTATTTTTATTTTATCAAAGTGCCTCCTTATCAAAATGGTTACATAATATTCTTTAAGAACAGCGAAGACATGTTGTGAATTGTCTTCAGGACTTCATAAATAATTATCATTATTTAAGATACTCAAAACATATTATTAAGGAAATATTTCTCTATAGTCGATGAGACTTTCCAAATATCCA